GGTCTTGGTCTTGTCTTGGTCTCGGGTTAGGTGGTCTTGAACACAACACTGGGCATATGATATTAATTACACAACATAATTCATTTACAGGTAGCAGATATTGAACTGACAATAGCTTGAAGCAACTATGTTTTGCTAAGACCCAGTGAAAGAGTTTCTTTCTCTCTATTTCCAGTGATCTTGCTCAATGCATTACGGCTTCATTTCTCCTCTTTTCCATTTCATTGACCTCAGTCTGTCTATGTCTCCTCTAAATTACTTTCTTTTTTACATAGTTTGTCAGTTTGTGTTTTTATCTTCTCCCTCTGCTGCTTTTACACTCAAATACATTTTATTCATCTCTTTATTATTTATTTATCTTATTTTATTTTATTTTTTTGCATTAATCGGAACCAGCTATTGACACCTTTTCCCACGCCTGAAGGTTTCGGATAAGGATTAGGGTTCGGTATAAGCAGATTTATGTTCATGCCTTATTTTGCATGAGGCTCCAACAATTTTTCTGCAAGATTTTCAACGATTCATCTTAGCTTTTGTATGAAGACGTCTCTCTATGTTGCCATATGCGCCCACTGATGTTTTTACTGCCATGTTTTTTTTTTTTTTTTGTTTTTTTTTGCAAACAGACGCCAAGTTATTGTAAAAGTATCACAACACTTGCAAATATTTGCCTCAAAAAAATAAAGGACAAGAAACAACACTGCTTATTTTACCTAAAATGTTAATGAGCAGTTTTGCAAGGCACTATAACTAATGATAACTTGATTAAACAATTTATGTAAAAAAAAGTGCTCTATAAATAAACTTTACTTACTTATGCTATTATAAAAAACATATTAAATAGACTTTATGGAACTATAGCTTGTCTATTTTTTTCCATCTGCTTCAGAAAATTGATCAGTCAGCATCTTTAATCAATAACATAAACAAATCAGGAACATGGCCAGCATTGCCTATAGGCTATATATATATATATATATATATATATATATATATATATATATATATATATATATATATATATATATAGTTGACTTTACTAGACCTCTGTGTTATTGTTTTTTCTTTTACTTTTAAAGCTAAAGTCTTCTAACTTTAGATTTTATAGAAAGACAGAGAAACTCCTCCTCGTCTCAAGAATGTAATTCAGGGTAAATAAATACTTCACACTGAGGTTGGAAAACTTCTAAGTTGTAACATGTTCGTGAGATGTAGTATCCAACTATTCCAATTAATTTTAGGTCCTTTTTTTTTTTTTTTACAAATATTTCACTGATTTCATCTACATTTTTGCAAGATTTTCAGAGGGTTTGTGGTTGACAAACCCTCTGAAAGGAGGACGTTAAGGCAAAGTAACAGAAAACATCTCGCAGTGTAAAAAAAAAATGTCTCCAATTTACTGTGAATCAGAGCTATTTTTTCTTTTTTTTACAGTGCAGAAGGAGATCACTGCATCCGACTTTTAAACTTTTGCATCCGTGCATGCATGCAACACTCTGCGGGCAGTTAGTGCAGTCAAAACTGTGGCTTAGTTGTTGGTTTACCAGGTGATAAACACACGGGGTCGTCACAGTATGACGTGTAGTCTTGGTGTGATGGGATGGCATGAGGATGAGGAGGGAGTGATTGGGTGGAGGGTCGGAGAAAGAGGAAAGTGAAGACAAGAGTTAAAGATGGGTTTGTTGAATGTGGGGGACAGGAGCATCCTTCCACTGAAGGATTGTCCAGGTACATGAACAGATGCAGTGGTGGGACGGAGAAATCTATGCAGCAGAAGATTCGCCGCATCGTTACTAGAATCGAGGGGATTCAAGTAAGGATGCTCTTTAAATACTATATGCAGCAACATTTTTTGGGGGGGGGGTGGGGGAAGAAAAAAAGCCACAGATTGTTGTTGCCATAGGAACATAGATCAGCTAGATAACTTCGCAAAGCTTATTAATATTTTGTAAATACTTGGAGATAGACTGCAGGGAACATCGTAGAGATAGAAACACAGACAGAACACTTCGTATCATCAATGTGTTTTTTTTTTTTTAACAAATGAAAAGGGAAAACTAAAGTGCGCCGTGATTACTGATAAAACATAGTATGGCCATATGGTGGTAAAGTGCAATAAAGGAGTGCGACCGTGTGTTTCTCAAAATGCTAATGTTATCGTGTTTCTAATTAAAACAACCTCATCGTGTATCATCTTCTGATGCTTAGCACCCCTGAGGCGTTATAAATATAGCCAGAAGGATCCACTGACTGTGTAAAAATAGCCACACTGTGGGTTTTCACATAAATTCATATGCACAATTTTTTGGTGAACTGGACTGAATAAGAAATTTCTCATCATGAATTGCAAACTGCAGTTAAGTGACATAAAGCAAAAAAAAACAAAACAAAAAACACAAAAATAAATCACGGACCTATCTACGTATAAGTGTCTTTGAGCATGATCTTATATCTGCTGCTTAAAGTGTCTTTTTTAACAATTTAAAGTCCTTTATAAACTTATTAACCTCTTCAACTTGTTCACATTATGAAAGCTCACAATCACAGACACCATTATATGGATTTTATGTGATGGCCAAACATAAAAGCTGCACACAATTATGAAATGGAAGGCAAATTCAGAGAACTGTAATGAATCATTTCTAGATCGGATTCATGCTGCACCTACAGCCAAAACATTTTGAGGTTATTTCTCTGTGAGCTTTGCACATCTAGAGACCGAGGAGTTTTGCCTGCCCATTTTCAATTTGTTAAATAGTTCAAACCTATTCGGTTTCATTAGAGAGCATCTGTAAAGATCCTTTTTCAAATATTGCTGCAGAAATCTAAGACATCTTCACTAAAACTCTGACCTGCCATTTTTCTCCAATGTAAAAAAAAAAAA